CCTACTCCTCCCCTCCAAATCCCTGCTGCTACTACTGCCCTAAGTCCAGACACTCGCTTGGCAGGCCAGTGTCCACCAAGCAAACAGGTTCTGTTTGTGGCATCATAACCATCATCGTCTTTATCATGCAACGTAACACTCCCTGCTGCCCACGACTGCCTCTTCCATGCCCCACTGTCCATGAGATTTGCTTACACCGAGTCAAATAACCTAAAGAGGTTAGTCGTTAGTGAAGAGGAAAAGGCAATTGTGAGGGGGTGAATCTGTACGTGAGACAATGTATTTCACAAATTATTTTATACTTGTCTGTGTAGAAACCATGGGTAAGAAAAGCTCCTCTGAGAAGGTGATGTTTAAGAATAGGCCTTTGGCTAAGGAGTAGGACATAATCGGGGGAGAACATTCCAGGCAAACTGCACTTTAGTTGTAAAGGCCGGTTGGAGTAGGCAGCTGCTAGCTGTGTGTGACAGCATGACTGGAGCGGACACTGAATATGAAGAGCAGTTGGAGAGAAAATCAGAGCACGGAGGGCCTTGCTGCTGGTGACAGGACTTGAGAGTTTTTTGAGTCTTCTGGGGAGTTTAACTACTAGAGTTCTGGGTAGATGAATAACATGGCATCACTCCCCCCACACCCACTCCACTTTATTTTTTTCTTTTCTTTTTCTTTCTTTATTTAGATTTTTAGCCATAGGATGCATGCGTTCCCTGGAAACAGAGAGGAGGAAAATGGGAACTCATCCCTAGAGGGGATGGCCATGCCACAATCCCTCCCCTTCTATTCTCCTCTCAGGATTTTGGACACACACACATGCATGCCCAGCATATTTTCAGACTACTGTGTCCAGGACTTGAACTGCTGAGTTGGCCCATGTGGGATCCAGCACCTTAACCATCACGCCACCTGCTGGCCCCCACCTCACTTAGCTTTTAAGGGAACTGCTCTGGCAACTGTGTTGAGAACACTCTGAAGGAGACAAGGGAAGAAACAGAACACTGAAACAATATGCCATGGTCCTATAAGTTGTAATTGTATAAGATAAATATACAGAAATTAAAATAGTCCCTGTGATTGCCTGCTTGCCTCTTCTGGTCACTGTGGCTGTTCACAGAGACCAGATCCCCAATAAGGGCCAGGTGGGTAACAACAGCAGTATGGAAGGTAAAAATGTTTATTTGCTTAAATTCTCCTAAAACAAAAACCAGAGTGGCTTCTTGAAGTATAGGAGTGAAGGTCACAATAAAGAACAGCAAGTCCCAACTTTCCATAGCAGCTTATTTTTCTCTAAGAAAAAGGAGAGTCCATTGTGCTACACACACGTTTAGGTAAGATACACAACAGGCTTGTTCTAAGATGCGAAAACTCATACAATTCCCATAACTTCCAATGAGAATTATAACAGCCAGAGGAGCACATCAACTCCAACATTCAGTCATCTCGAATCCTGTAGTCTTCCTGTGATGGGAAGAATTTTGCTAGCAAATAGTTGAATTAAAGTAGAGGCAAGCATGCTCTAAATATTCATCTTCTGATTCTTAATTCCTTAACGTATCCTAGTAGATTGCTTATTAGAATCTGAGTGCATCTTGCAAAAATTTGCTGTAATAAAGCCTAGATAAACTTCATTTGCTAACTTTCTATTCTGTTATCTTCATTTTCTTTTGTTTCTTCGGTCTTCTTTTCTTTGCACAAGTTGCCAAGGACAATGCCTAAGAAAATTATTAGTCCTACTGTTCGGTTGGAGATAAATTTATTCCAACAGTCCTCAGATCTGTGGATATCCAGGGTGTAAATCTGTAAGAAAAGAACGTAGCAGTGTGTGAGGACGAAGACTAGGCTCTGGGCACTACAAACACAGAGAGGAGAAACCGGCCTTCAGTTATAGAACGTCAGCTCTGGGAAGCCCTTGCTGTACACTGAACTGCTTCCCACTGTAGGAAAACCTGCCATGCCTTCTCTCACAGGGACTCTTTTTTTTTTTTTTTTTTAAATAGAACACAAATTAGGTTATTTTTAATACCCATCATGCCATGAATTCATAGAGAATAGGTTCCAGTAGCTCAGGTTCCTTTCCATTGGTTCTCACAAAGTGTGCTTCTCTGGGTGGAGCAGGCTGGTGCTTCAGTTGAACCCAGGTCCCTTTCTCTTTGGCTTCTTTCTTTTTCTGGTCATTTTCCTTCACACATTTTAGGAAGCTACTTCTGTTCTTAGAATGTTTAATATGCTCAGTACATACACTGATTCTCTTGGCAAGAATCTTGCCCTTAACTTGTTTGTTCACAACAATGCCAACAGCATGCTGGGTAACATTGTAGACTCTTCCAGTTTTGCCATCGTAACATTTGTGGGGCATTCCTTTTTGAACGGTACAATGTCTACAATATCACCTTTCTTGTAGATTCACATATATGTTGCCAAAGGAACAACTCCATGTTTTCTAAAGGCCTAGAGAACATATATGGGGTGCCTCTCCTCTATCCCTTTGTGTTTGTCATTTTGGTTAATTACTGGAAGATGCCCTTTGTGTTCGTCATTTTGGTTAATTACTGGAAGATGGCGGTTCCGACCAAAAGGTCACAGGGACTCTTTCAAACTGTGTCCTGAAATTTTCCTGCAGAAGGTCTTGTGAATGCTCTGAAAGGCAGCTCCGGCTATTTTTAGTTCTAAGGCTTTTGCACTTCCTTATCCCAAGTGATTTTGAACCTGCTTTCTTACAACTCCTACCTTCCAGCTCTGGCTTTGTTCCCTTGAGCAAAGTTTCTCAACAGAGATCAAGTCAGACTCAGCCATGACAACTCCGGTGTGACCTGCTACCTGAGGGACTGGGGACACTTCCTATACCTGGCCTCAGCCTCCAAATGCTTGTACTGACCCCTCCTGGTTTATCTGGTAATCAAACACTCCCCTTACATTTCTGAATCTTCCTCCCATCCCCACAGAGAGAAGGATCTAGAGATCCGGCATTGCTAATGCACCAAGGAGGATCACGTTTCTATCTTACTCCTTCCTTGGCTCAAGGGACTAGCTATTCTTCGCTGCGTGGTCAGCAGTATGGAATCATCATGCCATCCTTCCTCTTCCAGAACTGGCCGGCCATGTCCATCTTAAAATGCTACAGTAAGGACTGGACAGAGAACTTTAAAATACAAGGTGGGTTCCAGATATTTCTTTTTTTTGGAGAGGTTTTCGCTATAGAGCGCGTGCGCTCACCAGAAAGACAGAGAGACAGAAAGTGAGAAATCACCCCCCAGGGGAGATGGCCACATCACAATCCCTTCTCCTCCATTCTCCTCTCGGGATCTTGGGCACACACGCACACGCGCCCGGCATGAGTTTAAGCCACTGGGTCCGGGACTCGAACCACGGTCGACTACGTGGGAATCCAGCAACATAGCCACTATGCTAACTGCTGGTCCCAAGGGTTTCAGATATTTCTTACAATATTTGTGATTGTACTTGTAGTTTTTGCTTTCCTTTGCTAATATTCAGGTACTTAAATATTAATACCTATCAAGGTAAACCAGAAGTCACAATTAAAAAATATACAGATGAACCTATAGCTATTGTCCAGACCAGACAACTGACTGGTGATGACAACGCTCATGGAGCTGAGTCCCACCTAAAGGTGCTGAGAAATTCTGAAGAGAAAAAATGGGGAAATCCTGGACAATCATCAATTCCTAGCGTTTAGCTTTCTAAGTGAGGAAAACTGCAAGGGATATAGCACAGGTTTACTTCAGACACGATTTTAGTTCCTTCCACGCCATGTTACACACGTCCTGCCCATACCGATCAGTAATTTGCAATACTCTGCATTAAACAGGTCACCTAAATACAGGTTTGGTAATGTGTTTTCAATTCTTCAATGGAACTAATAGCAAAACAGACATAAAAGTACAGTCCCGTTAGTGGTTGATTAAGATCAACTAGCAAGTGGTTGATTAAGATCAACTTTTAGTAATTTTTATATTATAACCCAAAATGTTAAAAAGTAGTATTTTATTTAATAAATGCATATTTTAAAATTCCTCTTAAAAGAAATAAGATCAGATTTGGTTCATTCACCTTACGAATCAATCATATAAATTCTCAGAGTAAGTTCATGGGGGCAGGGGCTGAGGTGCTGAGAGAATACCCTGAGTTGTCCAAGCAGACCCTCAACATGCTTGGCATTTAAGTCTTGCCTGACTTTGGTCTCTATGCCAGAGGAACCTAAACGAGAATGACTAGCTGGCTGATCATCACCACAAACAGCTTTTTTAAAAAAGTTTTATCAGTTTACTTTTAGAGAAATTCAGTGTAACCCACAGCTCAAACGGTGCTGAAATATTTTCAGACATGTTTCAGAAGTGATGCTAGGAAAATCAAAGGGAAAAACTCAAGTTTAGTCCTTGTTATTTCTCTAAAATAAGGCAGCTAGCTTTTGTTTGTTAACGAGTTCAGACAGAGAAGGGACCATTCAAGGCAGTACAAGCCAAGCAGCTGTTTGTTTCAAGGAGTTCCTTGTCTGATAAACACAAAATTATTTAGTTCAAGTAATTTTGAAATAATTTAAACCAAGGAAAAAGGAGGGACAAATAAGAAAAAAGTCAAACCTGGTGGGCCAGGTGGGCCCCTACGGTGACCAGAGCAGCATAGTAGGGCGCGGTCTGACCACTGTTCACTCCCACCAGGCCCAGTGCTCCCAGCATGGCCACGCTGAAGCCACTGAGCCACTGCTTGGTGTTCTCCCGGAACCGCAGTGCCGTGGACTTCAGACCAAGCACTGCATCATCTCTTTTGTCCTAACATCAGAAAGCAGAAAGAAATTGGTTAGAGATTTAATCTACGTATCATAAAATTCACATTTTGAAGTGTAAATTTGGTGCTTGTTAGTCTATTCACAAGATAATGTAACCATCACCGGTAATTGCTGAAGAAATCATCTTAAGGAAAATGCAGTTGGGACCAGCAGTTGGTGTAATGGCTATGTCGCTGGACTCCCACGTAGTCGACCGTGGTTCGAGTCCTGGACCCGATGGGTTAAACTCACGCCGGGCGTGTGTGCATGCAAGCCCAAGATCCCGAGAGGAGAATAGAGAAGAAGGGATTGCGGTATGGCCATCCCCCCTGGGGGGGGGGGATTTCTCGCTTTCTATCTCTCTATGTCTGTCTGGAGAGTGCACATGCCCTATAGTAAAAACCTCTCCCAAAAAAAAGAAAATGCAGTTAAGGGGTAGGCTAGAGAGGTGGTGTTTAAGATACTGGATTGCACATGGCTGACTCTGTGGTTTGAGTCTCAAATCCAGTGGCTTGAAAAACACATTGGGGGTTGGGACCAGCAGTTAGTGTAATGGCTATGTCACTGGACTCTCACGTAGTCGACTGCGGTTCGAATCCTGGACCCAGCGGCTTAAACTCACGCTGGGCGCGTGTGCATGTGTGCCCAAGATCCCAAGAAGATAATGGAGGAGAAGGGATTGTGGCGTGGCCATCCCCCCTGGGGGGGGGTGATTTCTCGCTTTCTCTCTGTCTCTCTCTCTCTGTCTGGCGAGCACATGTGCCCTATAGCAAAAAAAAACCTCTCCAAGCAAAAAAAAACAAAACACACTGGGGGACCAGTGGATGGCACAGTGGATAAGGCACTGGACTCCCATGTGACTTTTGTTGTTCAAGTCCTGTTCAACCTGGAGGCTTGAAACTCATGCCAGACATGTGGGCAGTTGTACTCAAAATCCTGAGAGGAGAATGGAGAAGGGATTGCCAGTGTAGCCATCCCCCCAGGGCATGACTTCTCACTTTCTATCTCTCTGGTGAGCAAAAATCTCTCTCAAAAAGAGAGAAAAGAAAAAGAAAAACACATCTGTGCGTGCCTAAAATCCTGAAAGGAAAACGGAAGAGAAAGGATGTGGTGTGGCCATCCTTCCTGGAGAGAGGCGGGGGGATGATCTCTCATTTTTCCACTCTGTGTCTCTCTGTAGAGCACACGTGTCCTATGTCAAAAAAAAAAAAAAATGGCTGTTATACTATTAGCTGTGAAAGGTGACAATAACACAGAGACACAGGCTGTCAATTATTGAGTTGTCAACTCAATCATTTCTTGAACATTTTAGTGTCAATCCTGCTAAAATCACGGATAAAGAAAAATATTCACCACCTAATCACACGCTCACTCTAGTTCACTCACAGTTCACTCTAGCCCACGTTAATCGTCACCTCTCCCATCAGATCCTTTCTGTCTATACAGAGCAAGGGCCTGATGACACACATATACCCAGCTGCCTGGTTTCCTCAAGTAACTTTACTTGTGAGCATTTTCCTACACAAATTGTGCTCCCTGTGGCTCCCTGTGGCTGCTTGCTGAACTCTGTACTAGCCTGCAGGCAGACAGCTGCCCTATCTTTTGGGGATCAAATGTAAATAATATTAAGTGTGGGGTTCATACATCTATCTTTCTTTCATATTATAGAAACCTTCAGAGTGCAAACGGTATCTTTATATGAATCACAAAAGTATCAATAAGTATGTTTAATGAAAGCCATTAAAGAGTACAGTTTGGGGCCAGCTAGGTGGCTTCTTGGTTAAGGTGGCTGGATTCCACATGGCTGAGTAACCAGGAGGGTGAGCAGAAGAAAGCAGGATGAAATCCAGACTGTAGTATTAGAAAAAGAATTTCACTGGGGCCAGCCGATGGATGGCATAGTGGTTACATCGCTGGACTCACACATGGCCCACCACAGATCACATTCTGACCCAATGGCTTGAAACTCATGCTGGGCACATGTGCGTGCATGCCTAAGATCCTGGGAGTAGAGTTGAGAAAGGATTGTGGTGTGGCCATCTCCCCTGGGGATGATTTCTCACTTTCCCTCCCTCTGTCTCTCTCTCTCCAGTGAGTACATGCACCCTAAGGCAGAAACCTCTTAAATAAAGACTAAGAATTTCATTAAACCATGACATAATCTTTAATAAACAATTGAGAATATATAATCATATTTCAAAAAAAATATAGAGAAATAATCTTTTTCTCTTTTGCTAGAGGGCACATAACTTACTAGAGAGAGAGAGTGAAAGGGAGAGGAGAAAGCACATCCCACGGACTTGAATCACATGGTTGGCCATGTTGAATATGGCTGCCTTAACCACCAGGCCCCCAGAACTACCTCAAAAAAACCTTTTTTCCTAAAGATTAATTTAATTGGGAACCAGCAGTTAGCGTAATGGCTATGTCGCTGGACTCCCATGTAGTCGACCGCGGTTCGTGTCCCGGACAAAAAGCTCTCCAAAAAAAAAAAAAAGATTAATTTAATTTAATTTATTATTATTATTATTTTAAAAATTTGTTATAGGGCATGTGTGTTCATGAGAGAGAGAGTGAGAAAGCAAGCCTCCTGACTGGGGACTCAACTGCAGTCAGTCATGTGGGAGTGCAGTGCCTTGACCACCACAGCACCTACTGACCCTGAGAAAAAAAATTTTTTTTTTTGGAGAGGTTTTCGCTATAGGGCGCGTGCGCTCGCCAGACAGAGAGAGACAGAGAGACAGAAAGCGAGAAATCACCCCCCAGCGGGGGTGGTCACGCCGCAATCCCTTCTCCTCCATTCTCCTCTCGGGATCTTGGGCACGCACGCACACGCACCCGGCATGAGTTTTAAGCCACCGGGTCCAGGATGCCAACCATGGACAACTACATGGGAGTCCAGCGACATAGCCATTACGCTAACTGCTGGCCCCGAGAAAAATTTTTTTTAAAAAGTCCATAAATATATCCTCCCTACAGACACGGAAATGACAAATAACTATAGTAATGGGTGTTTCTGTTAATTAACTGTGGTAATCACTTCATAATGTAGGTATGTCACATGGTATACCTTGAATATATACACTTTTATTTGTCGATTATACTTCAGTAAACTGGAGAAAAAGTTAGTAATTATAAGAAGAAAATTAAGGCCCTAAACCAAGAAAAGTGGGGAAAAAGCTTTTTAAAGTTAAACTTACAAAAACAAGGCAGTATCAGAGCTATAAAAATGTTTATACCCTTGAACTCACTAACACCACTCTTGCATATTTCCCCTAAAACTCAGATTCATGAAGTATTAACGATGAGAACGATATTACTTAAAATTGTAAAAACTCAGAGAAATGACTTAAATGGTAGGTACAGACATTCCGTAGCACACGCTCTGCAGCGCTGTGGGCTGTGTGAAGGTCGGGGCTCAGCTCCTAGACTGAACACACCAAGTGCACAGATGCCTGTGAGCCTGGCTGGGAAGGCAGGTTGAGGGGAATGTGAAGTAAGACTCAACTGAGGGGGTCGCCTTGCTTTTTTCCTCTCATAAAAGAAATAGGCTTAAAAAAAAATAGATTGCTAAATTAACATGTACATGTATATATGTATATGGCATGTCAGCGTTGAGTGGTGGTGGAGTCGTAATGCAACTGGACCCCCCTTGGGGAAAGGTCCTGGGGTCATGTCCAGGGACCTCCTTTCGCAGGCCGGGCACACAGAACTACAGTCTCGGCTTGCTGAGAATGGGGGCAGACTGCGGCATGGGGGATCCTGTTGGGGGTGCCTGCCTGCCTTGCCTCTCTCACAGAATAAACAAATAAGAAGACTTACAAGAAACGAGAGCATGTGAAATGAATGGACTATTAAGCAGTCTTAAAATGACACTGACAAATAATTAGTAAAAACATGGGAAAATGCTTCTTTCCTATACCAGGTAAAGGAGCAGCCTGTTAGAATGACCGGAGGCATACAGGGAGGGGCAGGGGACCAAACTGGTTAAGAGCACAGACTCTGCAGACTGTGGGTTTGAATCTCAGCTCTGCTCCCCACTAACTGTGAGATATAGGTTACTTCTCTGCTTGTTTCCTCATCTGTAAAATGAGAATAAAGGCACCTTTTTTACATATTGTTACAGAGGTTAAATTATTACTGTAATGTATTTGAAACAGTGTGTGGAATATAGTAAATACTATGTACATGCCTGTAAATAAATATAATGAGGCTGGCCCCATACATAGCAGTCAGAAGCTATACCCAGGAAGCCAGATACCACATGGCTGACCTGTGGTCTGAATCCTGTCCCCAGGAACTTAAAAACATGCCAGGCACGTATGTGTGTGTGCCTAAAATCTTGATGGGATGAGGAATGGAAGAAAAAAAGATGCAACATGATTGGGCCTCGTTGGGGGTGCTTTCTTTTTCTTCCTCCTTTTTTTGAGCAATTGTGTGCTTTTGCATCCTCTGGCAATAATTAATAAATAAAGTTAAATAAAATAAAGTAGTTGAACTTTCTGGGTAAACACACATGGACATGAAATAAAAATATTCCATTGGGGCCATAGAATTGCACATGACTTCCTTTTAAAAAAAATTCTCCCCCCAACTTGGTTCTTATTTTAGAGTTCTTAAAAAACAACTAAACCAAACATAAGAAAAAGATGTAATTTCTTTACCTGATGGGCATAAATAGTGTCATATATTAGTGTCCACATAACTCCAGAAAAATAAAGAGGCAGGCAAACAGATGGATCACAGGAACCCTTGATAGCAGACCATCCGAGTAATGCTCCCCAGTTAAAAGTCAGCCCTACAATTAGTAAGACACAAGGAGGGGAGAGTCTACATGTATTTTATTTATTTATGTCTTAAAGAATAATTTATTTATATATTATTATTCCTTAATTCAGCAGAGAGAGAGGGAAAGTGAGAAAGCAGGTCATCAGGTCTGGGACTCAAACCAAAGTCAGCCATGTGGGAGTGCCTTCACCATCACACCACCTACTGACCCCGAGAGTCTAGATGTATCTTAGAGTTCCAAAGGGAGGGGAAGGCATGGATTAGTGCATCCTATACACTGGGCTCTGTGTATGCCATTTTCTTTGTACAAAATAATTATTTATTTAATTTTGTTTGTTATTATTATTATTATTACTTTAATTTGACCAGAGGAGAGAAAGAGAAAGGGAAAGTGAGAAAGCAAGCCGCCAGGTCCTGGACTTGAACTGTGGTCAGTCATGTGCGAGTCCAGCATCAACCACCATGCCACCTGCCGGCCCCTATGCTGTTTTCTATGTTCCTTCAGTAAGTCTTCTCAACCCTTTGTGGTGGTAGTATTAGCCCCATTTTATAAAAAAGGAAGGAGGCTCAGGTTAATTAACTATTATAATAACATAGCTAGTAGCAAGAACAATATTCCCTGGTAGAGTAAACAGGGGGTTTAATAAGAACTTTATCCCATCTAGTATGGAGCCTGGCACAGCCAATGAGTAAACAGCCAGGAGCAGGTGCTGGGGTCTGAACTTAGCCTAACTCACTCACTAGCTGTCTTCCCATTACTGCTCTGCCTCCCCCACAAGCTACAGAAATAAGAGTATACATAGGAAGGCTTATTTTACAAGCCCATCTTCTTTGAAGACTGTCAGCTAATAGCTACATCTTAACTCCTGAGTCTCCATTTGCAAGCCTGATCGCCTCCCTTCATTTTGGACAAGGTACTGAACTGTCTGCTGGACTGTGCCCATAAATTCCCTGGGCACCTTAAGCTCAGTGGGTCCCAAATGTCTTTCCTCAGAAAGCCTTCTCCTCCTGTGTTGCCAACCTCCACTTAGAACACACTTCCCCCTCTGACTAAGCGCCTCTCCTGCGGTCCAAGCACGCAGGCACGCGCTGTCCTGCAATGCTGTTTACCTGCTGTCTCCTCTAGCTCCTTAAGGGCAGTGAGTGTGTTTTCATCATTTTTATTTTCCTAGTGTCTGGTGCAATTCCTGGCACAAAGTAAAAGTAGGAGTTCAACAAATATTTGAAATAAATATACCAGATTGTCCATTTTCTTATAGATTGGAATGGCTTATGCTCCTTTTACCAAAAGATTCCCAGGTCAATTGAGACTATAATTTTACACTTTTAAAATAATGAAAATAAAATGAACATTCAATAAGAGGATCTAAAACAAAACAAAAACTATTTCACCACACCTTTCCCATCAAACAAGTTTGCATAAATTTCTTGAAGTGTCTTTTCTTTTATATATGGAAAAAAGTGGCTCAAAGAACTAGGATCATTTTATATAGGAACGGAATAGAATAGATAAGTCTGAGAGTAGATATTTTTATAATTATTTTGAATTACCTACCTATTTTTTACTATGTACAATCACACGTTGCTAAAGGACAGGGATGCGTTCTGAGAAATGTGTCATTCGGTGACTTTATCGCTGGTGAACCTCATAGTGTGGCTTTACGCAAGCCCAGAGTGTCCAGCCCACGCCAAGTGAAGCTACAAAGTACAGCTGGCTACGACCTTACTGGGTTGCCCTGGCCGACACACTGCTCCACCACGCTAGATGCCGCTGTACCGCGCTGTGTATGCACCATGCTAGATGCTGACTGTCTGTAGAGGATGCCTTCTCTCTGGGTCATTTACCAATGGGAGACACAGAGGCTGTCCACATATTCCTGTTGAGTTGATTCTGCTGAAACGAGTAAGTGCCCCATTACAGCAGCACTGTAGAGGCCCAGAGGGGATCGTCCACCTTCTCCCTGGGAGGTCTGGGTGGGCTTCCCAGAACCAGTGCATTCTATGCTCACAGGCGCACTTTGAACCCTTGTTCCTCTGCCAGAGGGCTTCCCATCCCATTCTCAGCATTCCTTGGGGCACCTAGATTAACCACCCTTTCATGACATACCTAGATTTTTTTTTTCTTTTTTTGGAGAGGTTTTCACTATAGGGCACAAGCGCTCACCAGAAAGGCAGCAAGAGACAGAGACAGAAAGCGAGAAATCACCCCCCCAGGGGGAATGGTCATGCCGCAATCCCTTCTCCTCCATTCTCCTCTCGGGATCTTGGGCAAGCTCCCACACACACCCGGTGTGAGTTTAAGCCACTGGGTCTAGGACTCGAACCGCAGTCGACTACGTGGGAGTCCAGCGACATAGCCATTATGCTAACTACTGGTCCCACATACCTAGATGTTTTTAAAAAAGTGTATCATAAAATAATAATGATAAGGAAGGCAATATATACGCAAGATTTCTTAGCTAATAAAAATAGCTAATTGCCCTCTTTTCAAATATGAAAACATATTCCTGATTTGGAAAATGTCATGACATTTTATCTTTGCTTTATTTGAACATTTTATCTTTGCTCTTATATAAGTATATCTATAACAAGCGCGGTTTGAGAGTATCAAAGGAAATACTTGTAGTTATTTCAAGCTCACCCAAGGCTAGCTGAGGCCAGTACGTGATTCTCTTCGTTAGTGGGTAGGTGACGACAAGAAGTAAGGACGCTGCTCCCAGAGCTATACTGAAAAACAGGAGAGCCAATAAAAAGATTAATGTTGCTAGCTCTTAGAAATCACTACATACTTTTAAGATAACATTAGTAATATGAATTGAAGAATATTTCATCTTAAATTATATTTTTTTGTAATACGAAATTCTCTTCCTAGACTCTGACTTTCCGATTACTGGGTTGTTGTGAAGTCATAAAGCACTTTTGCATAGAAAAACATAGAAAAATGGGTCATAACTTTTCCCAACAACCTAATATAAAAGATGATTAGGAAAATATTTTAAGGGTTAGAAAACAAGCAGGCAAGATAACAGCTAACAGGCCAGCCATGTAGCCCATTAGTTAAGGGAGCTGGTTCCTACATGGCTGGTTTGAATCTCAGCCCCAGTGGCTTGAAAAATATGCCAGGGGGCAGATGGTAGTGCAGTGGTTTTAAAAAAAGACAAAATAATAGCTAACACATACAGTCCTTTCATGCATTAGGCACTGTTTTAAGTGCTTTACATTTATTAACTCATTATAATCTTTGAAAGACCTAAAACGGTGAGTAATTTTATCCTCCTAGAGCACTAAGATTAGTAAATTGCCGAGTCAGCAGGAGAGCCAAGACTCAGACTGCGGGCAGTCTGGCTCCAGATCTAACCCATCAATACTACCCACCGTAGGCTAGTGCCTCTCTACACTCTGCAAGCATGAGGGCATCTAGTAAACAAAAATGTCCTAACAGAGTGGAGAGTCAGAGATTCTGCTGTATCTGTGCAGGGTTTTACTTCTCCAGAAAAGGAAAGCACATGTGCAAACATGATACCAAATGATGTTCTTGGGCTCCTCAAAATTCAACTACCACCACTACTCCAGGAATCGCCCTCCCGAGGTGTTCCAGTTACTGATCCATCGGGACACAGTGTGCGATTTAATCTAGTCACTGTAAATAACATTTACTTGCTGATGACCCCTCCCATTTGTTCCCTCACTGAAGCACTTTCTAAGCAGGCATTTGATGTTTAATTTTGATTGTTTAAGAGATAAAAGAATGCGGGGCCAGCAGGTGGTGTGGCGGTTAAGGGATTAGACTCCCACATGGCCAACAGTGGTTTGAGTCCTGGACCTGGTGGCTTGAAAATCATGCCAGGTATGTGTACGTGTGTGCCCAAAATCCCAGGAGGAGAATGGAGGAGAATGGATTACAGCATGGCCATTCCCCGTAGAGGGTGATTTGTCACTTTCTCTTTCTCTGTCTTTCTCTGGCAAGTGCATGCCCCCTATGGCAGAAACATTAGGAAAAGAGAGAGAGAGATAAAGGGATGTGTCCTAGTCTTTTCTACTTATTTGTAATGACAGAAGGTAGAAATGCTCATCAGAGAGAGACAGAAACAGAGAGAAAAGAGAGAGAAAAAGCATCCCCTAATACAGGGTGGTCACGCTATAATCTCTTCTCCTTCATCTCTCCATCTTGTCGGGATTTTGAAAACATATGCACATGTGCCTGCTGTGCTTTTAAAGCTGCTAGGATTAAGACTGGAGCTGCAGTCAGTCACGTGGGGATGTAGCTCCCTAACTACCAGGTTATGCGCCAGCCCTCCCTTTTTCCTTCTGTCACCGATTAGTAACATACCCATGAGAAAGACATAGTTTCTCTCTCTTTTCTTTTTTACAAAATAAGTATAATTGGGACCAGCAGTTGGTGTAATGGCCATGTCACTGGACTCCCATGTAGTCAACCACAGTTCAAGTCCTGGACCCAGTGGCTAAAACTCACTCTGGGTGCGTGTGTGTGCATGCCCAAGATCCCGAGAGGAGAATGGAGGAGAAGAGATTGCGGTGTGGCCATCCCCCCTGGAGGGTGATTTCTCACTTTCTGTCTATCTCTGTCTCTCTGGCGAGCGCATGTGCCCTATAACAAAAATTTCTAAAAAAAAAAAAATAATAATAAGTATAATCACTTCTGGTGCTATTTACTTCAGAGATACTGTCAGCATAAATAATTTATTCATATCCACAGGTGTGTACACACACATCTGTGCACGCACATAGAAAAACTGTGAAATGTACCTTGTGCCTCTTGGGGCATATGCTGCACAAAACAATAAAGGGGATTCAGAATAAATTAAGTGCCATCTCTTAACTCCTTTGGCTGAAAGCATTCTTGAAGCAGTGTTTACAATGTGTGATGAATGATTTAAACTTGCTAACTTTTGGATGTGTGACAGATAGCCAATGAACAATTTTGTGATAAGGATATCCCAATTTTATCTTATTCCTATTTTCTTCATGCCAAAGGAGAGATTTTAATTTTATTTTATTCATTTATTTTTCTTTTAGACAGAGATTTTTGCTATAGAGCGTGTGCACTCACTAAAGAGACAGAGACAGAAAGCAAGAAATCACCCCCCGCCAGGGCTTTGGCCATGCTGCAATCCCTTATCCTCCATTCTCCTCTCGGGATTTTGGGCACATATGTACATGCACCCGGCGTAAAATTTAAACCACCGGGTTCGGTACTCAAACCACAGTCAACTGCATGGGAGTCCAGTGACGTAACCATTATGCCATCTGTGGTCCCTGAGATTTTATTTTTAAAGATAGTGTCACACTGTGTCACCATCCTCCTGCCTCAGCCTCTGGGCTGGGACCACAGGGACAAACTACCATGCTCAAAGGAGAGATTTTACACAATTATAAAGAACACATTTAATATACCTGTAGTAATTCAGACACAGAAGAATACCCAATGCCAAGGTCAGCTGTCCTCCAAGAAAAACTAAGGATTTGAAAGTTGAAATGTCTCCAGCTGCTATTGGGCGATTTGCTGTTCTTACAACCTAAACACATAAAAAGAGATACCTTAACTCCAAGTAATGGTCAATCATTTATTTAAACATTTAATCAGAGACTGGCCCAGGCACTAAGGTACAAATTGAAGAGCAAAGTCAGTATGTGAAGTACTGACAAGAATCAAAACTTCATATTTCAATAACTTTGAAAAGACCTAAAAACTCCCACCACCTTATTCCCCTTTCTATTTCCTATTCCCATCCCCAAACAAAACATAGCAACCTCTTTATCTAGCCACTCCCCTCAGCAAGTACATCTATGCTTAATTTCCTTAGGGGACAGAGATACAATAACAATGAGAGTTCTCAAGAAAGAGGAAATTGCAGTGGGTCTTGGCTAAGACTGCTATCACATGAATGTTTTGAGCAGGGAAAGCATTATAATCAGAAATCAGGTGTGAAGAAAGCTGGGTTTGTAAGTGGAAGTTTTTTGCCAGGTTATTTAGGAATGTGTCTGCAATATTTTGTTGACGATACTCAAATGCAAAGGACAAACTCACTGAGAATGTGAATGAGGGGCTGGATGGTGGTGTAGCAGTAAAATGTGCTCTGTGAGGCTGACCTACATGGAAAGGTTCCAGGTTCGTGTCTAGGAACCTCCCTGAGTGTACTAGGCACATGGATGCCCCATGAGAGCTGGCTGAGGCTGTGGGTAAACTGTGACACTAAGACCCTGTTGGGGGTGCTATCCCTCTGCTCCTGGAATATATACAAATTAACTTAAAAACAAACAAAAAAGAATGTAAATAGGGCTGTTAAACAGATAAAGAATATACACTGAGTGTTCTTTTCCTTCTAAGAGACCAGGAAATGTGAGTATCCTAAACTCAACCACAAATAAAAGACATAACCCAAAATTTCAACATCGCTGGAACTCAGGATTAGAAGGGGGTTCGAAGGCCTAGTATCTCTAGGCTTACTGGTTGTGTGAATTTGGACAAATTACTTAGCCTCTCTTGGCCTTAGGTTACTTACCTGTTAAAGAAAAAACAGAGAGGAAAGGGAGAGGCAATAACAATACCCATCTCAGAGGGTAAAAGCATTATCCTTAGCACATTAATTATGCAACAAATATTAGCTATTATTTACGTAACATATCTGTGTATGATTGCTATCAAGGGTTAGGGAACTATGGCCTGTGGGGCAAGTCCAGCTTAATGCCAGTGAGCTAAGAATAGTTTGTACATTTTTTTTCCTGTAAAGTTTATTTGTATTTTTTTCCAAGAGTGCATGAGCAAGAGTGAAAGAAAGAGAGACAGCAGACAGCACCCTCAACAGAATCTTGACACCACACTCCACAGCCTCAGCCAGACCAAATGATCAAACTTTATTTTTTGCCAGAGGGTGCATGTGCTCTCCAGAGACAGAGAAAGAGAAAGTGAGAAAGTAACTCCCCATGGGGAATGATCATGATGCAACCCCTTCACCATCTTTCCCTCCTTGCAGGATTCTGGACATGCACATACACATGCCTGGCAAGTTCCTCAAGTTGCCAGGTCTGGAGCTCAAACCATGTAATTAACCATGTGGGATCCAGCTGTCTTCACCACCACATCAGAGGCTGGCCTGATCAAATATTTTATGTAGTTTCTAAGAAACTAGACCACTCTTGGTTTACAAAATAAAATCATAAATACTCATGCGTTGAATTTATTTCAATGCTCTTAATTTACCGTTTACCAGGTGATTGCGTGGCTAGGTTATCTACAACACCAGCACACTTAATTTATATACCCTGACAGCAATTTACTTATCATTTAATGTATTAGCAATTTACTTAACATGTTGATGTGCTAAGCGAAACTTGGAACCATAAACATGTGCTTAGTAATATTCAGTTGACCCTCCACATCCATGGTTACCACATCTAGAATCGCTGAGGTCACGCAGGAAGGCCTTGTCCCAAAGTCTGCAAATGCGCACACACATCCCCGTGAGCCTGGCTGACTGGGAGAACATCGTGGCATTAGCACCTGTTGGGTTACCTGTCTCTCTTTCTCTCATGGAAGAAATAAAACTCTCCTGGCAAATCAAGCCATTCCCGCTGCGTCAGCGTGGCATGGGGTCACACGGCTCCTCCACTCTCCAGTTCATCCTCTCCTCCAACCACTCTCGAACCACACATTGCAGGTAACAAACACTGAGCACTTTACCTCATGGTCACACTTCTGGACCTGCTGTTTCCCTCTGCCTAGAATAACCTTCACCTTCCAGTCCACTTTTTTTTTTTTTTTTTGGCCATCTTATTCTGGCAGAGTTCAAAAGTCTCTTCCCACCTGGAAGTGCTCTCTGACCCTCTGCATTAGACTATGGGCAGTCTTCGGTAAGGTCCTTGGTAGATAACACTCTCATGAGATTGCCACTGAATTATAATTACTAAATTCTAAGATCAGAAATGTTCTTCAGCCATGCAATCCTAGAACTTACCACTGTGACTTACATACATCAAGTACTCAATAAATACTATGAGCTAAAAAAACATATTAATGTTGGCTGGCCTCATGGTCTAGTGGTTAAGGAAGCTGGGTCCTACATGGCCGACCATGATTTGAATCCCAGCTCTGGTTGCTTAACAAATATGCAGGGTATGTTTACCCCAAATCCCAACAGGATGGAGATGCAGCATAACCATGCCCCATTGGGAGTGCTTTCTCCCACTCCTTTTCTCTCCCTCTGTCTCTCTGTCTCGCTCTCTCTCTGGCAAGCACATGTGTCCTCTGGCAATGAAATAAATAAATAAATACATATATGCACACATAAATTTGACAATGGTCTATAAACTAAAAATGATTATAGATCAACCTTGTTTAAGGAAAATCTGGACCACATGCGAGGCAAACTAGGGGGGATTATTCATGTTCTATAAGTCTATATTAGAATATTCACTAAGAGTTCCTTTAAATTCAAGCTCACTGGATGGTTTACTGAAGCATTTAACAATCTTGTACTTGAATGGCACAGCTGTTATGAAAAAGGCAAACAAAACGGCTCCTTCCCATGAGAAAATAATGGCCTCTTGAGCGACGAAGAAATCGTTATACACATGGATTAGGATAGGAACAGAAAATAATCCAGGGGCCTATACTGCAGCAGCTGAAGTTTTCTCTGGGGCTTGGGGAAGGGCACAAGGATGGACACTTTCTATCCTCTGTGTCTTTGTACTGTGGATTTTTTGGAATAAGCATGTATTATTTTTCCAAAAAGAATAGCTATTTTTTAAAAGAAATAATTACAGAAAATGCTAAATAGGGCTGCCTTGGCTCATTTAAATTAAGATTTGATTTACAAAAGGATAAGCAGGGCTCTAAATATATCTCAAAGGAAGGGATGGCAGATCTTTTAGACACTCAGAGGTTCAGGATGAATTTTTCATTTTCACTCCTAACCTTTAAATCTTATCAGTCTCTCAAATTATTATTATTATTATTATTATTTTGGACAGAGAGATTTTTTGCTATTGAGTGTGTGCGATCCCAGAGACAGAAAGTGAGGAATCAGCCCTCGGGGGGATGGCCACACCACAATCCCCTCTCCTCCACTCTCCCCTCAGGACTTTGGGCACCACGTACTTGTGCCTTTCAAGCTGCCCGTACTTGTGCCTTTCAAGCTGCCCGGTCTGGAGCTTAAACTGAGGCTTACTCTGTGGGAGTCCAACACCTTAGCCACTACGCCACCTGCTGGTCCCAGTCTTCCAAATTCTTCATTCACTTTGTGAAAATGAAGTACACGCCTTACCCTGTGGCCACCTACATGTCGTGGAGGAAGTACACTGCACTTTGAAACGCCTGCTACTCTGCTGATCCCAGCAGGATTTCAGTGAGGACACTACATGAGCTTGTGCTTCATGTATCGATAGCATTCACACATGATGCCACCATGTCATCTCAGAATGGAGAGGGGCCTCTATTCCTTTCCAGGATGAAATCACCTTTTTATCATAGTCCTGGTCCCACATGTCATTAATAGTACAGCCTGCTCCGCGCATCAGAACAGCTCCTGTGCCAAAGAGGGAGAGCATGTACCAGTCTGGAAAGCAACCCGGTTCCGCTGCCAAACCAATGCTCCAGGTGCACGGCAGATACAGCAGCCAGGTTCCTAGGCAACGACGATAACAAAGACAGAAGGACAGAGTTACAAATTCGAGTCGAAACTGTCTTCATTTGTTTGGTATCATATCCCCCCAAAAGTAAAGAACACTGCAAACAAAGTAAAAAAAAACACATGACAAAACTGGGAAAATAAACTGCAACTCACAGCACAAAGGACCTTTCTCCCTAATATGTAAAACCCCCCAGAAATGGAGAATTGATTTATAGTCCAATTAAAACATGGCTGAAGGACAGAATAAAAGTTCACAGAAAAAGAAATACAAATGACTCTGATAGGAATGAAGAAAGACTAGATTTTAAGAAACAGCTGCATTGAGATAAGCTCTCCCACATTATCAGATCGGCAAAACTCAAAGTCTGATAACACACTCTGGGGAGTAGGATATTCTGTATTTCAGATGAGGTTACAAAACGTTCCTACCATTACAAAGCACAAGTTAAAAATGTGCACTGCGTGTGCATACAGATACACACATTTGAATGTTAATATGCTCCCAGACTGCCAGGAAGGGCACATTAGAGACTGGTAATAATAGCTTTTCCTAGGAAGGGAACTGTGGGGATAGGAGACAGGGGTGGGAGACATTTTTCACTCTATACCTGGTACTTTTTGAATTTTGTTAATATACACTTACTCCCTATTCAGAAAAGTTAATAAAAACTACCTTTACTGCTATTAGAACAATACTCCATGTGGTCTTTAGGGAGGGGCATTATTACCTTACAGTTATTATTTTGTACTGAAATGTTTCGTAGCAACACATAAAGGTGGGTTTAGTTCTTAGTGCTTAACCCATAAACTACTG